AGGCTTTATATCAAAATGGTTTGGAACTTCGTCGAGACTGGTACATGATATGTAAATCTGCGAACCGTTCGGCATCTTCTGAAAGTCTGAGCTTCTAATAGACTTCAATTTGTTTCCAAACAATAAAAGTTGGTAAGGGGGTATTTTCACACCCTGAAAGATGCCATCGACGGTGCTTAATTCGTTGGCAAACAACGACAATTTTTTTATAGATAGGCCATTAAAAATGCCTTTTGGTAGGTTCTTGAGTTGATTTCGATGAAGAAACAGGTCTCCGATGTATTCAATACCTTCAAATGCATTAATTGCAATACTCTTAATGTTATTACTTTGCAAGTAAATTGCAAATACGTTACTCAGCTTCGGAAAGGTATTTTTCTCAATCATTTTAAGCTTGTTGTGAGACAAATCTAATGTGAGAACAAGGATTTTCGAAAAATTGTAGGATTCAATGAGGTTAAATGACAGATCCAAAGATGAAATTGATCGAACATTTAAATTCCTTGCCATTTTGAGCAAGTTGTTTTTCAAGCGTAAGTCGACCAGGCTTCTAATTCCAGTAAGATCCGGTAAAGCCTTCAAACGATTATCGTTTATCTGAATTCTTCCTAGGTTTCTATTGTGTTGAAATAGTTTAGCTGGCAAAAAATTAAGTTTGTTTGTATTCATTTTAAGGACTCGGAGATCCTTGAGCTGATCAAACGCCCCCTTGGCAATGCTTTGCAAACCGGTGGATGACAGAAAAAGGAACCGGAGATTCTTCATTGTATTCAAATCACTCCGACCAATCTTTTGCAGAACATTTCCGACAAGGTTTAAGTTTGTGACAGATCTAGGAAAGATTGAAAGCTTTCCAACTAAAATAATGCCGTTGCTTTTAAGTGTGATCTCCTTAACGTTGGGTGTTCTTTCCTCTTTGAAAAGTTCCTCCACTGCTTGCAAAGATAAGTGGTTCCAAGACATGTCAATAATTCGGAGGTTCTTTGGAAGAATAAACGGATCCTTAATAGAACATTCTCGTAAGACGAGCTTTTCTAGCTGCGTAAATCGAGCAAAAGAATTGTTTTGGAACTTTATTAATGGATTTTCAGAAAGATCAAGATAGCGAATGGATGATGGAATCTCTGATGGTAGTGTCTTTAGGCCAGCACCAATACACTGGACAGTAATTTGAGAACACTTGCAACGTTTTGGGCACTGATATCCCAATGTGCCAAGATGGGAAATGTACAGCCATGTCACCAGCAGCAAAGTCAATTTATAACTCTCCATCCTGATATGACGTAATAGGCCTGATTGTCAGTCAATGCATCAACAATGCACCTACAGCCTCCCTCGCAGCACTAACACCTCTTTTTTCTTGTAGTTTGCCTTTTTATTATTGACATCTGGTTACAGGAACAACCTAAAACGATTGTAGACAGAGAGTCATGCTGGTAATTTATAAATTTGCAATTGAATATTACATTTTCAAGAAAATGGTTCAGCTTAGTGATAAAATTTTATCTATCTTCAGGGGTGGATCTAGGGGGGTGCTATGGGTGCTTGAGCACCCGTCAAATCTTTCAGGATGTGATATTTTGAAATTTTAGAATAGGCGGACACTTAATTTGAGGTTTTCATTTGTATTCCTCCGAGAAAATTAATTTCTATCCCGTCTGAGCACTTCTAGCCCGTTCTCTGTATTTTCAAAGCCAGTTAATTTACGGACCAGATTGTGCAGCTTTTTATCGTTGTATTATTTCCAGCACCCCCTGGTCTGTGCTTTAGTCGTTCGCAAACTAACTATAGCCAATCAATGAATGAGCTTGAGCACACACGATTGAAAAGCAACCAATCGGCTTCTGTTATCGCGGGTGCTCACTTTTGGCGGGAGCAACACCTATTGTCAAACATAGTTCAAATTTTCATTTAGGCAGGCGGAAGAAGCAAGTTGTAGTTGTTGTGTAGAAATGGCGATGGGCAGTCACAACAGAAAGGAAGCGATTTCTTTTCGAAATTTTAACAGAACAAAAGCGTGGGTAATGAGGTGAGGCCTATATTTCATTTTTCAAACTTGATGCAAAAGATCAAATTATAAACCTCTGCGTTCGTAATGAGAGCCGAGTCTGTAGAGCATGGCAGTTTAGGACAAGATCTTGTTTTTGCAAGAGTAAAAAAGATGTGTGCATGTAAATTCTATTGCGTGCACATGTCACACTGTGCAGACTCAATGACAGCAAGGTAGATTGTGTTTCAGGCGCAGTGTTTTTAGATCTTCCATTTTAAAGTTTGGGTATTTGAGAGGATATGTTACATGAATATCTTACAAAATTTATAAACACTTGAACTTGAGATATTTTCACAAAATCCAAGTTTTTTACTATGTTCTGGCCTACACCTTACTTCATCTTTATTCTAAGATATATGATTTTAATATTTGGTATTTATTTTGAATTCCAAAAGTTATGAATAAGTATTTCCAAAGTAATTGGTAGCCAGACTGGAAACTTTGCTTCTTGCGCGGGCAAGTTTATTTTGAAAATTTGAGACTGCGCGCCTGAAATCATGCATTCTTAGTTATTTTTATTGTTAATAATGTTAAATCCTATTGTCAAGGGATTTTGCGCGGCCAATATGCAAAAGCGCGCAGAGGTGTGCGCGGGCAATATATTGCGGGCGCGCAGCAAAGTTTCCAGTCTGGATTGGTAGCAGATATCAGTGAGAGGTTTAGTAAGTGGTCAGTATGGGGGACTGATAAAACCATTTTTTATAACTTTCTAAGATTTAAATTGGGTTCTTATTATCAACAAAAAGTTTTGAAACATATATTTGTGAGCATCCTGTTTTTCTTTACCTTTTTGATGCCAGGTGTGGTAAATTATTTCAATCTAAGATGCATATAAATTTAAAAAAGGTTATTTTATCCATAGACTCCTCCAATGCAACTTTCAAACTTGGTTTCCATAAACGATTTGAAAAACACTTTTTGTTGGTGTAATCCACAAAATATTTAAGTGTTTACGAAACTTCTATTAATCTCAATTAAGTAGCAAAGAGCTCAGCCTCACAGACCTACTGATTGCCCAGAATATTGTCATCTTTTCAAAATTACTAGCCAGACATTAGTACATAAACTGACAAAAACATTAATGATATTTATTTCATCTATTGGAAGTAGCTGTATTTTAAAAAAAGTTTATAAAGCAGTCAGAATGATGGAAGAAGAAATAAAATATTTGTTGTCTTTATTTCAACCAAGAGAAAAGCAATTACAATTGTTTCTTAGTATCATTTTGTTGTATTTTATGTATAGGTTTTATTTCAAATAGCACATAGCCAGAAGTTGAGAAAATAATTGTTTTAAAATCAATTATTTAAAAACAGGTATTGACAACCCTTGCTCTTTGAATGTTCAAAGGAAACTCTACTCAGCATAAATTTTGAAGGGCGTTGCACCAGCAAAAAATTTTGGCATGACATCAGCCCCACCCAAAACTGAGTACCCCTGAAATTTTTTTCTGGATCCGCCTCTGATCTTCTAAGATGGCTGAGCCGAGAGCTTTATATTGCAATCATGTTTTACCATATCCATGCCTCTGATGACTTTTTTGCACATCGAGAAAAATTTCATCTGATTTAGATACACGTCAAGATCTTTAGCTCGTATTCTTCTATTTTCATCATATTCATCACTTCGATACTCTGAATACTAGGGCCTATAACATTTGGTAACGATAAACACGATAACGATAAATGTCTAACTTGGTCGAAATATCCACGTGACTAAGGCCTTTTCTCCTCACTTTTCTCTCTCTATAGCTCTACCATTAGGACCTATCACATGCCTCGAGTCCGATGTAAATATCAAATTCTTCAGAACTTGTAGATACTGACAAAGCCGACCCAAATCATGATGATTTATGCAAAGGTTCCGAGAATTACAGTTTCATTTAGCGATTCTGCTGTGTTGCATCAAGTAGAAGGAAAAGGTTTTAACTCAACCGCTGTTTTTTAGGAAAAGTGGAAAATGTCGCTCTGGAATATTTGTGGGCTTTTCATCCAAACGAACCTACCAAAAACATTCCTTTAAACAAAAATATGGTTTGCATATTTTTATTTGGCCCCCAGTGAAGCGGCAGGCATACATCCTTTCCCCATATTTGTGATAGATGCATCATATTCGACAAATATTTAGACAAAGTAAAAAATACCAAGGAAAAAATGAATATTTTACATTTTTGCTTCGTTTTCGTGAAAGTAGGGTAGGTCTTGAGGGACACAGAGAACGTTCTCCGCAATATTGATACTAATCAAGAAGACAGAGATTTTACGTTGATGACCTAGGTTCAGGTACAAGGAATTTCGATAAAGCAAGATCTCGATAATTTGAATGCAATGGAAAGAATGCAAGCAGGAGGGTGTAGACTACGAAAATGAAAAGTGACCCCACTCTAAACAGAGGGATTAGAGAAGAGACCAAATGAGAAGAAAAACAAACTATAGCAAAAGATTCAATGTATGCAAAAGAAGGCCTCAAGGATAAAAGTGCTAAAAGCAAAAAGCGAAAGGTTTAAAGGGCAACAATGGACAATGTGACTGATAGATTTGAGATTGACTTTACCAGGATGTGTGACATGCTTAACAAATATCATCCTACAAAGAAAGGTATTTTGATTGTTTTAGCTTCTCTTTTGATTCTCGTGGAATCTTAAGCCTGTCTATGTGACTGCGAAGATTTTGTTTCAGGATCTGTGTAAGTTAAATGTAGATTGGGATGAGGCTATACCTGAATCATTAGCACATGGAAATTATGGCTAGAGGACCTCGTAAGGGTGCAAAATCTCAGTTTACCAAGCTGTCTTTATGATGATAATGGAGTTAAAGTAGGATCTGTAGAAAATCATGCACTTGGTGCTGTAAGCAGCAAAGCATACTGCAGAGTTGTATATCTGGGATGTGAAACATCAGAAGGCGTCAAAGCAACATTGCATTGTTCAAAAAGTAGAGTTGCTTCCTTGAATAAAACGACAATACCAAGGTTAGAATTGTTATCAGCAATGATCTTGGCCATTTTGGTAGACACTGTGATAGCAGTTTCCATTTCTCAATTGGAAATCAAAAACATAAAGCTATAGCTAGACAGCAAGACAGTCTTAAGTTGGATCCGGAGGCACAAGCGTTAGCCAACTAATGAATAGCAAGTTGTGGTGGGAAGGTCCCCATTGGCTGAAAGAAGGAAGAGAAAACTGGCCTTCACAAGAGGACATTGCTCCAAACTCTGAAGAGGATAACTGTGAGAGGAGGAAAAAGGTAACAGTAATGGTAACAACTATTGAACAACCTGCTGGAGGTAAGCACAGTACTCTCACTAGATTGCTTAGACCACCGTCATTCGTTTTCAGATTTGTTGGAAATTTAAAGAAAAAGAAAGAAGGAAAAGCTTTGCAGTCGGACAAAATGAGTGCAGAAGGAATAGTAAGAACTAAAAGAGAATGGATAAAAGATGCACCATCATTGGTGAAAGGTAGTAAGGTATTTGAAAAAGTAAGAGTGTCACTGGAAATTTAAGATGAGAATGGTTTGCTCATTTGTAAAGGCAGGTTAGAAAACTCTGACTTGAGCCTGGAAGCAAAGCTTCCAATTTTTCTGCCAACAAACACAAGCTGACAGAATTGATAGATGGAGATTGTCATGAAAGAGTTATGCATTGTTCAGTTAGAGGCACTTTAGCAGATTTTAGAGTCCAATTTAAGGTTACTAGACAATTTGTAAAAAATGACTTACATTCAAGTCTTGTTTGCAGGAAATTGGAAAGAAGACCCTACCAACCACCAACAACAGCACAAATGCCAGACTTCAGAGTAACAGAATCGATTCCATTTGCAAATGTTTGGATCGACTTTACAGGCCCGTAGAGTAAAAGAATCTTTAGAGTAAAAGAATCAGGAGATCTTTATAGTCAAAGAATCGATTCCAGGAGATCTTTGCAGGCCCGTTGAGTAAAAGAATCAGGAGATCTTTGGGTAAAAGAATCGATTCCATTTGCAAATGTTTGGATCGACTTTGAAGGTATATATTTGTTTATTCTCCTGTTGCGTGACTAAAGCCCTGCATCTAGAGTTAGTTGAAGATTTATCTACTCCTATATTCTTAAACTGTTTAAGGACATTTTGTGCAAAAAGGTGCACCCCAGAAGTAATTAACTCTGATAACGCCAAGACATTCAAAGCAACTTCAAATTTTTTGAAGAAATTTCATGGAGACAGAGATGTTCACCCTTTTCTAGAATCTAAAAGAATTGACCTTTAACCTTGAGATAAGTCCTTGGCAAGGGGGCAAGGAATTATAAGAAGTGTTAAGAGATATCTGTGTATAGTACCTGGAAATGATGTTGGGCGAAATGTTGGGTAAAATGTTGGATCGTTTGACCAGGGCTTTAAGATGCTACAGTTACTTGACGCATAGGGACATGAGCCAAGGGGGGGGGGAGCGTTGGGGAACTTTGCTAACGTCTTTTGTAATCCATTTAATCCACCTGTTCATAATTTGTTAACAGATAATCGATAATAATGGATAATTGAATAGTGCTTTCAATTATCCATTATTTCAGCCTGCTACAGTGACCTTTTCTTCATTCACACAGTGCTTTCAACGCCTTTAATTTTATTGATTCCCGCTCTTAGATGCTTTTGTTAATTACATATGTTAGAATCGTTCGAGCAGAGTTAATGTCGAATCGAGCTTGAAAACAGGTAAGAAAATCTATGCAACTATGCATATGAAACTCGCCTTTTTCTATGCATACGAAACTCGCCTTTTTCTTCGGATTGCTTCTTGATTTAATGTTACAAAACAAATCTTAGCAAGCTTTTGAAAATAAGTACTAACAGAAGGCACAACAACCGTGTAAAGTACAGCATGACAACTTCACAATTTACGTAGTTTGAGGTTTAGAATATGACGCAAAACAGACCAAAGCCAAAAAATTCCTCCAAAAC